CACCTAGGGCGTGGTTCGAGAAGTTTCCTAGCACTATTCTTCGGGCTGGCTTTGCACAGATTCAGAATTAGGGATAAACAGTGGGTGGCTTTATGCGGATTTGAGTGGATTTGGACCCACCCATTACATGGTGGATGAAGAAGAAAATGACCCACACCCACCCAACATGTACTTGTGGGTGGGTTGGGTTCCACCGCACCCACCCAAATCTTTGTGGGTCACCTATTTTAGAACCCACACCCACCCATATGAACCACCCACAACATAATGGGTGGGTCATTTGTGAGTGGTTTTCGGTGGATTGGTGGGTTCAACGACCCAATGTTCACCCCTAGTTAGAATGATCTGTCTCTATTCACGCACAGTATAGCTGATGGCATAGTCGTCTTATTAATCTATTTGGACTATATGATTATCACTGGTAGTGATCAAGATGGGATTCGTAAGGTTACAGAGGTTCTACGGAATGCATTTAACTTAAAGGAGTTGGGGAGGTGTCATGATTTCTAGGTCTGGGGGATTAAGCGATCTCCACATGGTCTATTTGTTTCTCAGTGGAAGTTTATACTTGATCTATTAGACTCGTCTCGGTATATAGATTGTGTTCCGTGTTTTACTCATATGGAACATAATCTTAAGTTGAGTAAATAAGAGGGAGACATGTTAGAAGATCAGCTTGTTCACAGAAGCCTAGTTGGGAGTCAAATATATTTGACTCATACTCGACCATACATCTCGTATGTTGTTCAAGTCGTGAGCCAGTTTGTGGGAGTTGCTACACATCTTCACTTGGTTGTAGTGCATAGAGTCCTTCGGTATCTGAAGCAAACATAATATGTTGGGTTATTCTTTCATGCAAAATGAGACTCTACCATAGAACTTTTTGCATATGCCGATTATGCAGGGTGTATTGATACTCGAAAGTCAACATCTGGGTGGTGTGTTTGAGTAGGATAGACCGTTGCATCGTGGCAGTGGTGAAAACAAGATCGAGTATCGAAGCCATCTATAGAAGCAGAGTATCGGTCTATGTCTGAGGTTAGTTCAGAGTTGGTCTGGTTACATCGATTGCTCAAGGAATTGGGATTTGATTGTCGAGTCCCATTGCGCATATATGGGGATAACACGAGTGCTATACAGATCACAGTAAATCTAATTATGCGTGACAGGACGAAACATATTGAGTTTCATGTTCATTACATCACGCAATTAGTGACAGAAGGATTAATACAGCTTGGGTATTTATTTACTAAGGATCAGGCGACGGATTTATTGACGAAGGATATTGCTTCCAGTAGGCATTGGTATCTATCTTCCAAATTGATGTTGCGAACCGCACATCAATTTGAGAGAGGGTGTTGAAGTTTATTTATATAGGTACCAACTTGTAAGTATCCTTGTCCTATTAGTCATGTATGTATATTAGTCGTGTACCCTATATAAGCTAAGCCAAATTAGACTTTGTAACCTAAGCAATTCAGATTAGAGTGAAGCTATTAGAGAGTGTCGTCTCTCACATGGATTAACCTTTAGCATCAGGGATACCACGTTAAATCTTTGGTGTTCTTTATTATTTGATTTGATTTAATTGACAATCACAACTAGTAGGTTACAAAAAATTACTATTGCAAATACCCACTACACATTCACTGCTAATACAAGCAATAACTCAAGCTCAATCACTACTACAGAAATATTACACAACTGTCCCACTGCAACTATTTTTCACAGGTTTTGTCGCCTCGCAGCGGTTCCATCACGAAACCCAGATTCCTCCCTCATTGCCTGCCTCCTACATTATTGTCGACGCCCTCGCCCTTGCCCTCTTACCTCCTCCACCGATGTTTGACACTCAATGGTGGAGGCTATCTGGGAGGTTTTTTTTAATTTTCTTATTTTGATATTTGCATCATTCATTTTGTATCGTGTCTTTTTGCTCCTTGAATCTTTTTTAGAGTTGCTCGTGTAGTGGCAAAAAAAGCTCTTTCATCGGTAGTTCGGTTGCATGTTGACTACCGCATGTCGTTGTTGTCGGTCTTGTAATGTGGTTCTCTTTGTCTAAGCCTTCTTGGCATATCTTGGACAAAAAAAAATGCTTCTTCTTTCTATTTTTCAATGCAAATTCGAGTCAACTAATAAATCTCGATGTAAGTAGACGAACCTTGACAAACTTGCTCCCAAAACCAAATGATTAGCTCTGAACAACATCTACATTAATAATTACTATCATTTATTTGATAAATTTAATTATTATATTATAAAATAAATTTAAAAATCATAATAATTCATATTCTGTATTACCCTCCTCTCTCCTTCCTACCCTAGTTCCCTTACACCCCTAATTAAGTTGAAATAGTAAATTTGCACTCACATTTTAAATATCTCTATTTTTATAAATTAACCAGAATAGTCATGTTTTCCACCTCCCTATTATTACAAATTAACCAAACATATGTAAAGTTGTTGAAAATTATATTTATCTTTCTCATTTGCAAATCGCATATTCCTCATCTAACCAAACAGAGTCCTAAAGAAAATATGGTTAATACCATTGGGACACCCGAACTATCAAGAAAGTGTCATTTACGTCTTGAACTATTCAATATTTCATTTATGTCCTGAACTATTGTTCCGTTAGTGTTTACCGACTTTGACCGTCAATATTTAACGGGAAACCTAATCATCATCGATGTGGCATCTGACATGAAATATTTAATTTTTATTTTTATTTATCTTCAACTCACTTAAAAAAACCTACTCCGTCTCCTTCTTCCCACAATTTCAGTCTCAGCCGCTTTAGCGGAGCTCGTAAGCCTCATCGCTAGTTTGTGAGGGTCTCCGAGCCGACCAACCCAATTCCACCGTCGCCTCTCCTTTTCAGTTGGGAATCACTTCATGGGAAGACCCTTTTGAGTGATCGAGAGATCGAGCATGGGCTATTCTTCATCGACTCTCAACCACTACCACATTCCTCCCACTCCGCCATTATTCCAATCCGACAACCCAATCTCAATACGAATCTAAAGTTGCCGATAGTGATGGCAATTGGGTAGGGCGGGGCGGATACCTCAATATCCATGCCTTCCCATGCTACAAAGGGTGAGGAATACCCCGTGGGTATGGGGCGGGTCGGGTCGAGCCACTATAATATGTTATTTTATAAAAATACACGCAAAGTTTTACTTTTAACAGTAAAAAAATACTTTATGAATGAAGAATAGTGATAATAGAATGGGTAACTGACTCTAACTAGTTGAAATATCAAACCTAACTAGTTGAACAAAAGTCAAAATAGGAGAAATATGAATAGATACGGTAAGAAATTAAGATAGAATAAGCCAAGAACGGAGCGGGGCGGTGCAGGGTGGGTGAGAAGTAGATGCCCATGCTCGCCCTACGCTACTGCGGGTCGGGTAATACCCGCCCATCGTGTGTCAAGTCGGGTGATACCCGGCGGGACAAGTTCAAATTGCCATCGCTAGCTGCCACGACATCCTCGTCGGTCGTAACGCCATATTCTTGAAGGCCAAATGACCTCCACGAGCAGCAAGAACCAGATAAAGCATATGGTGTCCGGTCCGTAGTCAGTAGTAGGGGTGGGCAAACGGTTCGGTAAACCCGACCCGAACCGAAACCGAATTAAACCGAAACGAAACCGAATTAATGCTATTCGGTTCGGAATTCGGAAGGAAAATATGGATATTTCGGAAATCATGGTTCTTTCAACCGAACCGAATTTCCGACCGAAAAACCGAAATATTATAATTGCAATCTCCAAATGGTGGATTTTTATGTTTGTAGTTGTTTTTAGACTTAAATATTTGAAATGTTTTATGACTTATGTGTTGAAAAGTTTGGTTTTTATCATTGATGATGCATATAATTGATATTTATTGTTTATATTAGGGGTAAAAAATAATTTAAAAGTAAGAAAATACAAGTAGCTTTACAAATTCGGTTTTGTATTAAAAACCAAACCGAATTATAATTCGTTTTAAACCGACCGAACCAAATTATAATTCGGTTCGAGGTTTGGGAGATTTCGGGGACCCGATATTCATAATTTCGGTTCGGTCGAAATCGAACCGACCGAATGCCCACCCCTAGTCAGTAACGAGCTGGAGTTGGAAGGAAATCGGACGCATCTGGCTGGGGAATCGGGCGCATCTAGTTGTTGGCCATTTCCACAGCGGCGATTGTAGTATGTTGCTCGATTAATTTGCTTACTCCATTTCGTGTTGGAGAACGAGGTGTTGGCAGGGCTTTGTTTTGAGGAGTGGGATGGGCTTCGTTACTTCAAAGAAGCCCATTGGGGAAACGGGCACGACGGATTGGGTGGAGTTTGGTGTCGACGGTTGGTGGCGGCGGGCTGTGGATGGTAGATATGAGGACAAGGACGGACGCTTATTTGCGGCTTCGCATAGTGAAGATTTCGTAGAGGAGAACAGAGGAATCATCATTAGAGATTTTTTTTTCTTATAAATTTTCTGGGTTATTAGTTTTTTTTTTTTTGCTTATTTTTTATTTTAAGTTAAAAAATATGAGGTGGCATTCACATACCTGCCACATTTTTTTTCCGATGAATGGGTGGCTTTATTCATCAAATACGATCAAAGTTTTACAAATAATCACACAAAACCCCTAAACAATTTTCAACGAAAACAAACAATTTTACAAGTAAAAGAAACTACCCACATACTATCTATTTCCCCCTATCTATTCTCTTTATACCATAACTTCTGGGCAGCAGAGGAGCTTGCAAACTCCAGATCTCCTTGCACCTTAGCTTCCAGAACCATCTGCATTTTGCGAACCAGTTCATCTACAGTGAGACTCTTCTGACCATATAGCCTGCGACATTTTTACTTCATCAACAAAAGTCAATGTCAAGTTGATCACTATCTAGTCATATATAATCTATGACGATCAACGAAATCATAATGACATAAATGACACAATTATCACAGGTTGAGACAATTTTAAAATATTGTCGAATACTTCAGGACATAAATAACACTTTTTTTTATAGTTCTGGTTTGATGATGGTACTAGCCCAAGAAAATATGATTGATATAGCCAAAAATTGGAGTCACTCAACCACCCTGGGAAGAGAAGACAAGGGTTTGCTTTCGCCGCGGATATGCATTTTCGAGTCACCCAACCACCACCACCACTCCGACGAAGAAAAGGCGCAGTTAGACGAATAGTTAACACTCGGATCACACCACCACCACCACTAACCAACCCCACGCCACCGGGACTGGAACCCAAGAAGAAGCAATAAATCAGCAAAATCCCACCCTCATTACCTAAGAATAATTAATGTTAATGCGCACTGTCGTCACCACCCCGTCCACGTGCCGAACAGTGATTCGGTCAAGCCAAAAGCCATTTACGACAACGTTGTCCGTTTCCTGCCCAATTCCACAGCCCAGTGCGGTGGCCCCCGGCCGCCGTTGTCCTTTTCCCGCCATCCTGACACCCCTCCGCACTCCCTTCCCTCGCTCACGACGCAGAAACGGAACCCCAACGGTGGCATTCTCGGGGTTTTGTTTTCTTCCTCATCGCTTTTGTGATCTTTTTTCCCCCTTCCTTTTCTCTGCTTTCTTTAATCGTCTCCACCATCCCAGAGTCCAGAGTCCTTCTCCATAAACCCTCCTCTATCCCCACTCTGCCTTCTCCATTCCTGCGGGCTGAGTTAGTTTCCTATTTTCAGCCGGAGAAGAGAGCAGATTTTGCCTCATCGGGCTGCCTAACAGCCGTGCCCGGACTGACTTCCTGTCCTGCACGATGGGGAGAAAATCGGGAATGTAAAAGGAGAGACTTTATTTTGGCGTCAAATACCAGTTACCTATAATAAGAAACCCAATAAAGGCAGGGGCTTTCTCCTTGGATTTGGCTTTCCTTTCAACTTTCTGGACCAGAGAGAGAGAGACAGAACTCCCAGATTTGATTTTGGACGGAGAATGAGATTATGGACTTCTGGCCGGAATTTCTCGCCAGCAGCTGGGGGAAAGAGTTCGTCGCCGGCGGGTTCGGAGGAACAGCCGGAATAGTCGCTGGGTACCCGCTCGACACCTTGCGCATCCGGCAGCAGCAGACCAATTCAGGGTCCTCCGCTCTCACCATTCTTCGCCGGGTTCTTGCCACCGATGGCCCTGCCGCCTTCTACAGAGGCATGGCCGCCCCGCTCGCCGCCGTCACCTTCCAGGTTAAACTGATATTCCTCTCTTCTTCCCGATTCCTGTTTTTGCACCATATTTGCCGGTAATTTGGCTGCTTTCCAGTCCGCCTTTTCCTGGGGTTCGGCATCTCCTTTCTTGCATCTACGATCCTGTATCACTTTCTGAATAAAAAGGGGAGAAAGGAACTGTTCACCTTTTCTATATATCAAAGTTATCATCTTGTTCAGGAATATTCTTCTGGGTTCTTAAATTTCCGGAATTCCAAATTTGATCAAGTTTGTGTGACTGATAGCGAATCAATTAGATTTCCGATTTGACGTTTATGATTATTTTACTCACATTTTCTCACCAACCATTCTCCGCATTTCATTCTACGATTTTGACTGGATAGAATATTTTAATGTTACCTGCAAACCAAGCTGCAGTTTCATGCTGATGGAGAATTTGTTGGTTGTTGCAGAACGCCATGGTGTTCCAGACCTACGCCATACTATCACGAGCTTTCGACCCTCCATCATCACCCAACGAGCCTCCATCATACAAAGGCGTAGCCCTAGGTGGAGTCGGCACCGGAGCTCTGCAGAGCGTGCTGCTCTCGCCGGTGGAGCTACTCAAAATCCGCCTCCAACTACAAGACACAAGTCATTCAAAACAACCCAATAAGCCAAGCACCTGCAGAGGTCCAGTAACCGTAGCCAAGTACATAATCAGAACAGAAGGGGTAAGAGGATTATACAGAGGGTTTACCATAACTGCCCTGAGAGATGCGCCCTCTCATGGGTTCTATTTCTGGACGTATGAGTACATGAGGGAGCAGCTCCACCCGGGTTGCAGGAAGAATGGTCAGGAGAGCTTGCAGACCATGCTGCTAGCTGGAGGGCTGGCTGGTGTGGCAAGCTGGGTCTGTTGCTACCCGTTGGATGTTGTCAAGACCAGATTGCAAGCACAGACTCCGAGTTCCGCTAATCCATACAAAGGGATCATGGATTGCTTGGCGAGGAGTGTGAGGCAGGAAGGTTACAGTGTGCTCTGGAGAGGGCTAGGGACTGCCGTTGCGAGAGCCTTTGTTGTGAATGGAGCTGTCTTTGCTGCTTATGAGACGGCGCTGAGGTGTTTCTTCAGCAATGGGAACATTCAGACTGAGAATACCATCTACAGCACGGATTAGCCTCCCTTTCGTTTGAGAGGATCCTGCATTCCTTCGTATCGGTAATTCAATATCAACCATCAATCATTCTTCAGGCACAATCCATGGAACAATGGAGAAGAGTCACCTGAGAGGAAACTTGAAAGCCTCTACTACCCTATCACTTAATTTCTAGGATTGTTGCAGCATTCAGTACGACATGCGATCTTCTCATCTCAAGAGAATGTACCATGGTTAAACAAAGATCATGGCAAATCAGAAAGAAGCCTCGCAATTAGCTTAGTATGCATCTATGCTGGCTCTGATGTCTTTGGTCCTGCTTAGGAGAAGCCACCATCGGTGGTGCCCTATGTGAAATTCTGATATACAAAGTTTATTTCAATAAAGAAAGACATGCTGCAGCAACAGATTCCAACCCCCTTTCTTTTTTCCTATGAATGGCACTGCGATTTGTTTCCTCAGCATCCCACATCTGAATGTATTCATTCACTACTGTAACTCCAGAAAGTATGACCAACTGTCAAATCAACCTCCAAAACTGAAGGGATTAATGGACTACGATTATTCATATACCCAAGGAACCAAAATAGGCCAGATGCAGTACAACACGCAAGAGTGCCCTATCACAGTGACCAATAACAGGAAGCTTGCCAGTTTGTTGAAGAATGCCCCATTCTACCCCAAATATAAACAACACATGAACTTCTCTGCGTAACATTGCCAAGTTTCTTTTTCACATTTAAGAAACTCATCCAATTGTTTTCCTGCTAAGGTTAATGAGAAACTTGAAACCTGGTACCGCATACAGTAGTAACGTAGTGCAGGAAGTTCCAGCTTCCTGCATCCTCTGCAAGAACCCTTAACATTCACAGACTCACATTTTTCACTAGTGTTCTTTGAGCCAGACCCAAGTCTGAGGCCATCAGTAAATGCAGAAAGATAACAAGCTATTTCAGAGGTAAGACAATATTCACTAATCACTATGGAAGTCGGAAATGAGGGGTCCTAGGAAGCATAATGGATGTCAGAACTTCCAAGGCCTTGAGAGAAAAGAAAGAAGTCATCATTGTACAATCGAAAACAGAACATGTAGAAAAGGCATAGTGCAGGAGGCAAGTGACTTGCTACCAGCTGATCAATTCCAGAAGCTTTCTCAAAACCCAAAAGATCGTTCAAGTAAATAGGAAAATTCAATTCTTCTCCACATCACTGTGGACACCTTAACAAGCTAGTTACAAATGTACAGAATGTGCAATGTAGACAGTAGACAGTAGACTCTTTCCAGCGTTCACACATCAAAGGACTTGAGGTGGGAATTGGAAGTCATGAACAATAGTTCGACAAGGGAAATGATTCTTCTGGAATACACAGCATAATTAACATACGGGCCCTAGTCTTCACCAACAATTCCAGAAAGCAAATCCAACAACAATTCCTTCATCCCTTGTCAGCAAATTAGAAATTACAGAGCAATTCGAAAAGATCCGGTTTTTTCCTTCTCGAAACCAAGTACACTAACAGAAGTTCCTTAAAAGCCATTAATACTAGCCACGAATTTAAGAAGTAAGGCTCAGGACACAAAAAAAAGTAAACTGATTAGTACTTTATTATACTACACAAATGTGTTTCCACACAAATACAACATAGAGAGACAAGTTGTGAAGCATAATGAGCACAACAACAACAGCGAACAACCGAGGTAAAGAAACGATAAGAACAAGTATACCTATATAATAGCCGGAAAAAAACAGACGGACACCCTCAACTACAGAGATGAAAATGGCATTACTTGTATTGATGGCAGAAATCACACCTACTCGCTGCCACGGCCAAACTGCTCGATCCTGGGTTCATTAAGATTGAGCTCCGCCATTGAATCTTCAAGTCCAGAGCTACTTTCAACTAAGACCTGAGGATCATTATAATGCCTAACCGCCTGCATAATCCCCCTAACTCGCTTATACGGATCATCACAGTCAAAAACTTCATTCCCAATAAAAACCCCATCACAACCCAATTGCATCATCAACGCGGCATCAGCAGGGGTCACAATCCCGCCACCAGCAAACAGCACCACGGGCAGCCGTCCCATCTGCTTCGCCTGCACCACCAGATCATAAGGCGCCGCGATCTTCTTAGCAAACGCAAACACCTCATCTTCATCCATGTTGTTCAAGATCCTGATCTCACCCATCACGCTCCTAACATTCCTCACCGTCTCGGCGATGCACCCACGGGCAACTATCTCACCTTGCGTCCTGATCATTGCCGCGCCTTCCCTGACCCTCCGCAGAGCCTCGCCCAAATTGCGACAGCCACAGACGAACGGCACCCCGAAGTTATGCTTGTTGATGAAGTGATCCTCGTCGGCTGGGGCAAGCACTTCGCTCTCGTCGATGTAATCGACATCGATGGCTTCCAGTATCTGCGCCTCGACGAAATGGCCAACGCGGACGCGGGCCAGGACGGGGACCGAAACCGCGCGCTTGATCTCCTTTACCAGAGACGGGTCGGGCATCCGCGAAATCCCACCCCGACCCGACGGCGGCTCCGAGACCATTATACAAGACGCGCCGGCTTCCTCGGCGATCTTAGCTTGACGGGCGTCGATGACTTCGAGAATCGCCCCGCCGCGGAGCATCTGAGTCAGGCCAACTTTGATGGAGTAGGGATTCTTCTTGGCGTCGGTGATGACGCTGCCGTTGTAGACGGTAACAGCTCCATTTTCCTCCATCTTTCTATATCTGACTATCTGATGCGTCTGTGCTCGGAAGGTGTTTGTGGAATTGTCTGAAAGAGAGGACGACCGACAAATAACGAGGAGGAGAAGCTGGGAGAGGCCCAAATGTGGAGATTCGGGTTTTTGTCACTGCTTCAACCGGCGAGTAATCTTGAGTTGAAATGGTTTAAATATTGGGGTTTAATTTAATTGTGAGAGATGAACGAGAAGTCGAGAAAGTTCGAGGAGTGGGGTAGTCGGTGGCAATTTTGAAACTATGGAAGCTTCGGTGCTTTCGGCCGGCTCCGCTTTTTGGCAGCTAATTCCATGTCGTATTGAACGGGGGAGGACTTCGTTTTGAGTGGCAAAACGGCAATCAATGATTGACGGATCTAGCTTCTAGTTTACAAAGTCCGTGGTAGGACTGGGAAACGGTGCGGTCTGGTCCAGACCAGACCATATATACGGTCTACGGTCTAGACCGAGAGGCTAAAGTACAGACCACAGACCAGACCACAGATTATACGGTCTGGTCCAGACCACGCCTGTGCGGTCTGGTTCGGTCTGGTCTGGTCCAGATAGACCACACTGAATGAAAAATGAACAATTTGTTTAGTCAACCACGCAAAAAGTTGAACCAATAACAAAGAAAAATAGTTGTTATTTGCCTTAAAACGTTAATCCTAACATGCATGAATAATTTTGATACCCTAAATCTTAGTACATAAGAAAGATACAAAGTAAAAGCATCCCAACTTGCACCATAACATCATAAAAATCAACATAATGTCATATGGAGACACAGTTATCTCTACTATCTGGTTAAATGCGGTTGTGAATGAAGGAGGGACGAGATTCACAAAATTAAGGTTGAGACTTGGGTGTCGTTCTGGGAGTTGGGAGAGTGGTCGAATGGGTTGTTAACACGTATTGACAAGTCGGTTGGGTCCACGGTTTGGTACGGTAAACCGCGGTCTAGACCAGACCAGACCAAGAGATCAAGACATAAAATAATACAGACCATGGACCAGACCAGACCATACTTAACAGTCTACGGTCCGCACCAAACTGTGCAGTACGGTTTGAACCACGGTTTTTCTAACGGTCTGGTCTATTTTCCCAGCCCTAGTCCGTGGGTACTCTTTTGTTCTGCCAGATCTGGTAAGGGTGAATTTGGATTTTGCGTAGCCCATTCTGGCCCACAATACCAACATCTAAAATGGATTTTAGCTATAGTTGTCAATCGGACGGGTTCGGACGGATTTGGGCTGGGTCAAATCGGGTTGCAGATTAGTCGGGTTTTGGGTTCATTGGGTTGCAGATTTATCGGGTTCGGGTTCAAATGGGTTGCAGGTTAGTCGGGTTGTGGGTTCATCGAGTTCGTGTTCAATCGGGTTGCGGGCAAATCGGGTTCAGGTTCATCGAGTTTCGGGTCGGGCAGGTTGCGGTCGGATCAGGTTACGGGTTGTTCGGGTCAGCGCATCGAGTAACTTACTTCTTACTCGTTACCAACTTACACATTTTATTACACTAATTTAAAATATTTTTCTCAATTTTTAACCAATTTCTTTCTACCTCGTATATATACTTAATTAAAAAAAACTAGTCAAAATGTTGAATCATTTTGTATGACTTGCAAATTGTTATGTAATTAATCGTAATTGGTAAAGTACACTAGCAGCTAGACACCATTAATCGTTTATTTGGTATTTTAGTATTATTTTTGTAATAATTGAATTAAGTATCTCGTTTAGTATAACCATGCAAATCTGGTATTTGGCGTGTGGTATTTGGCAAAAGCAGAATTGTAGAAAGAGTTATTTCGAAATAACTCATTGTCCAAAAAAATTCAGTAAACTATTGCCAAACGAGTTATTTGTAAAATTATTTGAATTACCCTAAAAATTTAACCATTAAAGATTAACTATCAAATTTAGTACAACTGTTGTGACTTCAATAATAACTTACTCAATAACATATATCCTATACACTTAGCCTTACCCTCAATCGACAATATTAAATTAGTATATGTTAATGATCGTATACCCTAAACCATCAATACATTATACACTAACCACATACCCTATGGCCTATACCCTAAACATATATCCTTATGAGTTGTGATTTTGCTAGTATAGTTAATTTAAAGTGAAATTCATACTTTGATTTTCAAAACATAGATAAAAAAAGTGATATTTGCTATACCCTAACCATATATCCTATACTCTACATCATATACCTTGTACCCTAACCACGTACCATAAACATAAATTAAAAAGGGATCTCCTGCCGTTAAAGACTTCAAATGACTTCAGGTGAACATATGTTAATAAAAACTTAGAACCGTCAAAACCATCAATACCTTATACCCTAACCATATACTCTCTAAACCATCTGTACCTTATACCCTAACCATATACTTTATAACCTAAACAACGAACCGTCAAAGATTATTTATCAAGTTTAGTATAATTGTTGGCTTATATTCACCCGCCCATAAATTTTCCATTCCAAAGTTCCCACCCAAACCTCCCTCTCATTTTCCATTCCAAACTGACCCGCAACCCGATTAACCACAATTTTCAAACCCGCACCTTGACTGAGTTATTGCAATCGTATGACTTAATAGGCCAAGTTTAACCCCCATTTTGAAATAAAAGTTCAACTCAAACACAACTTAAATGTGCCAAAATTTTACCAAGTGTTAGTAAAATAACAAGCATGTAGTGTTGAAGTTGCAATAAATGTAGAAGCATAGAACACAAGTAGATAAATTAAGTGAATTTTTCTAAAACAAATTATTGGTGTACTAATAGTTAATATAGTTATTAGACCATAAACAATTATACATATATATTAGCCTTCAAAGCATATAAAAATAAATTTAATTAGTCATGCTCTCCATATAAAAATTAAAGATTCATATTTCAAAGACTAAAATTTTGAAAACACCAAATTTTTTTCTTTATTCCTTTTCACACAAAAAAATACCAAAATTCCCCTCTTTCATTCTTCTTCCATAAATTAGAAACACTCAATTTTCCCTTTTCTTTCTCTTCCATAAAATTGAAGAACCAAATTTTCCTCTTCCCTCCTTCCTTCCACAAAAAGTTGAAAACTCAAAATTTCCCTCCTTATTTCTCTTTCATAATCAAAAGAATCAAACTTTCCCTCTTCTTTCTCTTTTCACAAATCAAAACCACCAAAATCCCCCCTTGTTACTTTTCTAAAAATTCAAGAAACCAAATTTTCCTCTTCTTTCTCTTTCCAAAAAGTTGAATGCACCAAAATTTTCCTCTTCTTTTAAAAGCATAAACTTACCAAATACATTACTTTACTTTATTTATATTTAATTGGTAACTTTATTGAATAGTTAAATTAACCAAAGTTTTAATTTATATATTATATTAATATTGTCCATGATATCAATTATTAATTCTTCATTGTTAATATTGATATTGTGCTGATTTTATATGTCATATTTACTTTTTAATTTTGTTAAAGAAATTAGTGTTCAAGTGACCTTCATGTTTCATTTTTTTATTTTTTTTAAAATATATAATATCAAATGAGTTTCATATTTTTTAAATTTCCTATACGAAATGAAAAATAATTGTACATAAGTTTAGAATGAAAAACTTTATTTTGAAAAACAATGTATTATATAATATAATAATTTTTCAAGTGGAGTAGGTGAAGTTCGGGTTGAGCCGGTCGGGTTATGGGTTAATCGGGTTTGGGTCAATCGGGTTGCAGGTTTAATCGGGTTCAAGTCAATCGGGTTCGGATTAATCGGGTTGTGGGTCGGGCGGGTTGCGGGTCAATCGGGTTGTAGGTCGGGCGGGTTACGGGTTGTTAATTTTTAGTCAATTCGGATTGCGATCGGGTTGTGGGTCGGGTTGATCGGGTGGATTATTTAGGTCGTGTTCTGTTTTGACACCTATAATTTTACCCCGTTAGACTATCACGACCCAAAAGTTAAAAGTGTAAAATAATATTATAGCCCTCTCAAATCTCCTTTAATGAAAGGTTGAAAAGGGCTTGGAGGAATAGGTAAGAGTAATCCACAAAAAATAGATGAAAAATCAAGGGGATTTCCTGTGGATACGTCATTGGAAGACAAAACATATGTCTTTGGCTGCATTGGCGTAGCCAGAAAATTATCATAGTGGGTCCAAAGATAAAAAAATACCATACATTACTCATCAAATGGTTTAACTATAAAAAAAACTAGTCTAATGTTAACCAAAAAGAACATATGTGTACCTCTAAAAAACAAAAACAAAATAGTTGTCTACCTAATTTCACAAAGAACCACGATGGATTTTCATATTATGAAAATAATCTAAAACATATTCCTTGTCTAAACTCTTCAGTGTGTCACTCTCGATATACCTCACCAAGCAATCATTCATCCAACTGTCACCCATCTGATTCCGAAGTTTGTTCTTGATGTAGCTCATTGCAGAAAAAGCTCTCTCCACACTTGCAGTTGCAACAGGTAAGATCAAACCTAGTTTTACAAGCATATACACCAAAAGATATGACAGATGTTTATTTATCTTCACCATCTTCTTAAAAAGCTCTACAATTCCTTTCAGTTCTCTAAAATCTTCATTCGACATCATATGTATCAAGCTGATCATCTGAGCATGAGATGTCCACATCTGAGAAATCTTTAGGATAAAACGTTGCCAGCTTCAACAACATATGCTTCTTAAAAGCAGCAAATGAATTGTAAAGAGTTAAGCAACCCATACAACACAACAGTTCAGTGTTCACCTCATCAAAACAACTGTCAAGCTCTTACAACTGCATATGCACAACTGTATAAAATAACTGAACCTGGAAATGATGCATATTTGTGATTTGTTGACCATTCCGCCTTGATATTCCTAGAGGAACATAAGGACCATTCATTAGGGGTGGCAGAACAGTTTTCGGTCAGTAGTTAACTGCTGGTTATGATCGAACCGACCGGTTTTTGGCTAACCGAAAACCGCTCCTATTTTGCC